AAAAGAATCTTTAAAAAAAAAAAAAAAAAAAAAAAAGTGGGGGTACCTCAAAAGCAACAGGGCAAGCGGTAAAATCGCCACATAGAGAGCGATCAAGCTTCCCAAAAAGAGGCTCGGAAACACCAAGGGTGTCAAGGCACAGCCACACCCGCTCAGGCTCTAAGGGAAGCTTCGGAGGAATGCAGACAGGCACTGAATTAGAAAAACTATCGGAGCAGGACTGCTTACTACCTGAGAAGGCCAACACCAGCCGTGCCATTTCGAACCACAGCCGGCCGTAGAACGGAACATACCGGTTATGTTCCAGAAAGACTGACGGATCTTCTACTGTTGTAACTTAGCTATAAACCCTTTTTTAAGTACTGGTGTTGTAAAAACTGTATCAACAACTGAAAAGGTCTGCTGTGGAAAAAACCATTAGTAAATTAATAAATTAATCTGTAATTGGTGTTATGTAGACCACTAGTTTTGTTTTAATTAACAGCCATTATTAACAGTAAACACATGAAATTATGTTTGAATTTCATAAACATGACCTGACTGAACATGTGTTCATGTCAGGATCCACTACTTGGCTAATAATTTCCCAGACTAATAGTGATGACTCGAAGATAAGATTGTTATTTGAGCCTGTGTGTAAGTATCCTGCTAAAAATGTGACTAGGTAGGGGCGCCTGGGTGGCTCAGTTGGTTAGGCGTCTGCCTTCGACTCAGGTCATGATCCTAGGGACCTCAGAGGGAGTCCTGCATAGGGATCCTTGTTTGGTGGGGAGCCTCATGCGCCCCCTGCTTGCACTCTCTCTCTCTCTCTCTCTCATTCTGTCAAATAAATAAATAAAATCTTTTTTAAAGTATATAACTAGGTAAATAATTCTGATTGTTCTCACTTTAGACATCAGCCAGCATTCACCTCTAGCTAATACACACAAACATAAATATTATGTAAAATGCTTTATAAAGAACAACTGCCTTCCTTTAACTGGTAGTAAGTTACTAGTCCAATCAAAAAATTTTGCAATGATAACAATGAAAACGTTGAAATGAAGAGTATCATATACAGCCAAAACTGTCACATGTATTGCTTTTACCAAAAAATTTTTAAAACAAATAACACGATTACAGTATTTCCCATTAATGAAAAGTTAAATTGTAGGCAGATGAGTGGAAGAGGGAAAGATACCTAACATTTCACCCAATACCATGTCCAGTCACTTCAGAGGGACACAACGGTGGTTCTTACCCATCTCACATATCACATTGTCAATATCAATTCAGGTAACTCAAATTCCTTTCTGAATCAATCAACTTCTGTTTTCAGTAAAGGGTAACTAAACTGATTTTTTTCCTTTCCTGTGCTGGCCCATGTACTATATCATTTAAAAGGAAAGAAAACAACAAATTTGATTAGCTATAATTTATTTTAACATTTGATTAGCTATGACATATTTTAAATGCATCTACTGGAAAGTTAGCAATCTGCATGCTTATTAAGGTAGGTAAAAGTGAAGAATCCATTTTCTCACATACTATCAATTTCACCGAGCTATATATCTGTTTCTTCATTCCAAAAGCAGAAAGGAAAGGCATGTAATCTGAAGAGACAATCATATTTTTGAGCATTTTTACAGTTGGTCCTGAAGAATATTTATAGGCATGTCATTGCACAGATGGAGGCTGACCCAAAGAGAATAATTTATTCTGGAGAAATTGAAATCCTCTACTTAAAATTTAAAAGGGAAACTAAATTCCTCATAAATAAACTTTTAAAAATATTTCAATGTCTCTAGGACTTAAACATTTGACTGAAAAGAAATATTTTTAAAATTTCCCTCCCTTCTTCCTAAAAGAGGTTTTTGTTGTTGCTGTTTGTTTGTTTGTTTGTTTTTAACCCTAATAAGGAATAGAAATAAACCTGTTTGGGGAAATCTGGAAATATTCTCCATTAATGCATATTTTTTCTTATGTTTCCTTTATTTTTCTCATTCAGTTTTCTCTTTTCTTATTTTCCTTTCTCGAGAACTTATTCTTACCTCTAATTGTAGGATTACTACCACCAAGCATAAAGGTACTACCTGCCATGGGTAAACCATAAATTTAATGGATCACACCATTACACAGTTTAAAGAGCTTCTTCTCACATTACAAGTATGAATGAACAAGAAAACAAATAGAGGTTAACAGATTTACCGTATAGCAAGAAAGTGAGAGAATTAGCACAAGAACCTAGTATTCATGCAAAAACAAACCTCCTTAAATGAAGTTTAGTGCAAATCACCCAAGAACAAACCATCACTGCTTTTCAAAGAGAAAGGCCCTTGCTGTCCAAACACTTGGCTATTCAAACACTTAACCATACTGATGTTAAATCAACAGCATCATCATCATCAGGATTATATCATCATCACCAAAGTCTTGAGAAGGCAACTATTTTATCTAGGAAATGAGAGAGAATAATCTATTCCTAGTAGAGGATACACTGAGCTCAAGACCCTGGGGCAAGAGCGCAAGAAGGAGAAATTGAGTAGCTAGCCATTGCTTCCTACCACCAGACTTTTCAGGACTCTGAAGTAAGTTCTTAAGACAAGCATCTGAGAACCAAATGATAACATTAAAAAAATTATTATCCATTAAAGGCATCTGAACGTTGATTCACAAGGGAAAGGAATTTTGAGCTTATTGCCAATATTTGCATGCAAAGTAAAAGCTATTACCATATTTAAGAGGCAAAAATATACTTTAACATTCATAGAGTGAAAAGGCTGGGCAAGAAATAATAAGTTATCTCTAATCAGTAAATTATTTCAAATGGCATCTGATAGCTGTTGACTGTTGCCAAGCCACATTACGGATCATTCCAGTAAGCTGGCTATAAAACAATACAATTACCAATGTTAATTATCTGCTGCAGAAATATTCATGATTTAGAGTGAACTGAAATGCCTCCTTGCTGCTGGACTGTCCCACACATTCCTAGTAAGTACACCACTCACATCATTCTACAGGGTTAGGAAAGTCTGAAGTAACATGAGATGCATAACGTCTTTAAGTATACAAAACATCCATGCCTGGAAATTTGGGCAAATGATTGCTGGGAGAGGCAATGTCCTGTGTTCACTAAATCCTGTGTCTTCCCAAAGACACAGCTGGATTCCAAGTTCCCAAGATGGTCCCATTTGATACCTTTTGGTATCAATTCTTACATCAGTAGTGGTTTAACACAACAGATGTTGACTTCTCATCCATATCACAGAATATGGAAAAGAGCAGGAGATCCTGCTCCAGTCGGTGGGAGCCCAGGCTTAATAAACTACTGGGCCCAGCAATCTGCTAAGTCTTCATCCTCCTCTGCACTCCATCCACAAGTGCAAGAAACAAAGGCTCATGAAAGTCATGAAGAAGGGTGCCTGGGTGGCTCAGGAGGTTAAAGCCTCTGTCTTCGGCTCAGGTCATGATCCCAGGGTCCTGGGATGGAGCCCCACATCGGGCTCTCTGCTCGGCAGGGAGCCTGTTTGCTTCTCTCTCTCTGCCTACTTGTGATCTCTCTCCCTGTCAAACAAATAAATAAAATCTTAAAATAAATAAATAAATAAATAAAGTCATGAAGAAAACTTTCATGGGCAAAGCCCTGAAATGACATACAACACCTCCATCTATGCTCCATTCTCTGGAACTCAACCTAAGTGCCAGGGAGGCTAGAAAATGTAGTCTAGGTGTGTACCCAGGAGGAAAGGAATTGGGTGAAGATATAAAAGTCTATACCATAGCATCTTTTAACACTTTTAATACATTTGGCTTATTGTAAATTTTTTAAATTTTTTTTAAATTTTTATTTATTTATTTGACAGAGAGAGATCACAAGTAGACGGAGAGTCAGGCAGAGAGAGAGAGGAGGAAGCAGGCTCCCTGCCGAGCAGAGAGCCGGATGCGGGACTCGATCCCAAGACCCTGAGATCATGACCTGAGCTGAAGGCAGAGGCTTAACCCACTGAGCCATCCAGGCGCCCTTATTGTAAAATTTAATTACTTTGAAACTCTTCCACTAACTATAGAACTTCCGTTCTCCAATGTCTTTCTTTAAAAATTAATGGCAGAGAAAAACAAATATCCATACAGGCGTGCCTTGGAGATCTTACAGGTTCAGGTCCAGACCACTGCAATAAGGCAAATACCACAATAAAGCGAGTCGAAAGAATTTTTGTTTCCCAATGCATATAGCTTTATTTACACTATACTGTAGCCTACTGGGTGTGCAATAGCATTGTCTAAAAGAACAATGTACACACTTCAATTAAAAAATACTTTGTTGTTACAAAACACTATCCATCATTTGAGCTTTCAGGGAGCTGTAATCTTTTTGCTGATGTAGGGTCTTGCCTTGATGTTAATGGCTGCAGATCAATCCAGGTGGTGGCTGCTGAAGGCGGAGATGACTGTGGCAATTTCTTAAAATAAAGACACCAAAGAAGTCTGCCGCATTGATGGCTTCTTCCTTTCGCTAATGATTTCTCTGTAGATGAGATGCTGTTTGATAGCCCTTTGCCAGCAGGAGAACTTCTTTCGAAACTGGAATCAATCCTCTCAAACTGGGCCACTGATTTACCTACAGACTTCGTTTACATAATATTCTAAATCCTTTGCTGTCATTTCAACAATCTTCACAGCATCTTCACCAGGCGTGGATTCCATCTCAGGAAACCACTTTCTTGGCTCATCCGTAAGCAAGAAGTCCTCATCTGTGAAAGTTCTATCATGAGATGGCAGCAACCCAGTCACATGTGCAGGCTCTACTTCTAATTCTAGTTCTCTTGCTGTTTCCCCCACATCTGCAGTGACTTCCTCCACAGAAATCTTGAACCCCTTCAAGTCATCCATGAGGGCTGGAATCATCTTCTTCCAGACTCAGGCCACATTGTCATTTTTGACCTCTTCCCTTGAATCAGATATGTTCTCCAAGGTATCTACAATGGTGAATCCTTTCCAGAAGGTTTTCCATTTCCTCGGCCCGGTCTCATCACAGAAGTCACTATTTATGGCAGCTCAAGCTTTACGAAATGTATTTCTGAAATAATAAGACTTAAAGTTGAAATGACTCCTGCAGAATGGATGCTGTGTTTGCAGGCATGAAAATAACACTCACCTCGTTGTCCACCTCCATCAGAGGAGCTCCTGGGTGACCAGGTGCCCTGTCAATGAGCAGTAATATTTTGAAAGAAGCATCTTCTCTTTCCTAAGATCTCAACAGTGGGCTTAAAATATTCAGTAAGCCATGTTATAAAAAGACATGTGCAGTCATCCAGGCTGTACTGTTCCATTCACAGAACATAGGCAGAGTCAATTCAGCATCACTCTAAAGGGTCCCAGAATCTTCAGAATGGTAAAAGAGCACTGGCTTCGATCTTGAAGTCACCAGCTGCTTTAATCCCCTAACAAGAAGGTCAGCTTGTCCTTGGAAACTTGAATCCAGGCACTGACTTCTGTTTAGCTCTGAAAGTCCTAACTGGCATCTTCTTCCAACATAAGGCTGTTTCATGTCCTTTGAAAATGCACCACTTAGGGCAGCCACGTTCATGACCTCAGCTAGATCTTCTGGGTAACCTTCTGCCACTTCTACATCGGCACCTGCTGCTGCCTCTTGCATTTTGATGTTATGAAGACGGCTTCCTTCCTGAAACCTCATGCCCCAGTCTCTGCTAGCTTCAGACTCTCCTTCTGCAGCTTCCTCACCTTCCACAGCCTTCATGGAATTGAAGAGAGTTAGGTCCTTGCTATAGTCTAGGCTTTGGCTTAAGGGCATGCTATGGGTGGTCTGATCTTCTATCCAGACCACTCAAACTTTCTCTATAATCAGCAATAAAGCTTTTTTTCTTTCTTATCATTTGTGTGTTTACTGGAGTATCACTTGTAATTTTCTTTAAGAACTTTTCCTTTGCATTTACACCCTAGCTAATTGGTGGCGCAAGAGGCAAGCTTAGCTTTTGACCCCCCTCAGCTTTTGACGTGCTTTTCTCACTAAGCTTAGTAATCTCCAACTTTTGATTTAGAGTAAGAAACATATGACTCTCCCTTTCACTTAATCACTTGGGAGGCCATTGCAGGGCTATTAAGTGGCCTAATTTCAATATTGTCATGTCTCAGGGAATAGGGAGGCCCGAAGAGAGGGAGAGAGTCAGTGGAGCAGTCAGAACATACACATTTATCCACAAAGTTCCCCATCTAATGGGCGCAGTTCAGGGCTCCCCAAAATAATTAGAACAGTAGCATCAAAGGTCACCGACCACAGATCACCATAACAAATATAATAACAATGAAAAAGTTTGAAACATTGCAAAAATTACCCAAAAATTACCAAATGTGACAGAGACACACAAAGTGAGCAAATGATGTTGGGAAAATGATCCCGATGGCCTTGGTCAACATAGGGTTGCCATGAGCCTTCAATTTGCAAAAAATGAAATACCCGCAAAACAAAATAAAGCAAAGCACAATAAAATGAGGTATGCCTGGAATTTTATAGATTTCAGTAATCCCCAAAACGTTCACGAAAAACTGTTCAGTCCAGCTGTCCTTCCTCCTTCAAATATTACATTGAAACATTCATTATGAAAACTGTTAACATATTTTAATTGGACAGAATGAAAGAGGGAACAGCTTGGACATGAAAAATAAAAGCTGATTCATCTACTTAGTCACATTCCTTAATACTATTCCAAAGCTACCAAAGTTTTAGAGTATGATAGAAATAAATAGAAAAAAAAAAATGTAAAAAAAAGAAAGAGTATATTGTAAGAACTGCTTGGGGGAAAAAAGACCAAAAAACCAGGACACAACTTTGGCAATTTCAGGTTCATCATTACATGTCACATCCAAAGGCATGATTTCTTATCAACTGGTAACAACTCTTCTTTTCATGAGAGAGAAAACATTTTCTATTAATTCACTCACTCTCACTAAATAAGACCTTATTGTGTTTAAAAAAAACATCTAAAAAGTTTCCAAAGGAGGAGAAATATTCAGCCATGAAATATTATCAATCTCATTCCCCTGTTAGTATGGGCTGTTTTCCACTATATTCTCCACCCATCTGAGCTAATCAACCACAGACAAAGGAAGGCACAGAACAGTTCAACTGGTTAAGAGTCACAGGTCCTTGTCTTCAGGAATTCAGAGAAAATGGGAGGGAGTGAATTCAGTGCAGTCTCTCAAGAACATCAGTTCCTTGCGGCGGGGGTGGGGGTGGGGGGTGGGTGATGCCTGGCTGGCTCAGCCAGTAGAACGTGCGACTCTTGATCCTGGGGTCATGAGCTCAAATCACACATTGAGCGCAGAGCTTACTTAAAAAAAAAAAAAAAAAAAATCGGTTCTGTACTCTGGTATAAATTACTGAATGAGTGGACCGTAGCACAAGCCACAATTAGCTTCATGCTTCTGAAACAGCTGGCCAATTTTCATATTTCAATAAAGCATCTATCAGGTCGTGACTACATGACAAAAGCTTAACACTCCCTCTGCCAAAAATAAATAAATAAACAAAATTTAAAAAGTGAAGTCTCCTGCACCCACTCGTGTTTAAATGGCATGTTTCCTGAAACCCGGGAGGCTCCCACTGCTGCAGTCTCCTAACAAAAACTATAGTAAGTAAGACCAATTTCTCTCAAGAACATGAAAACTGCTACTGAAAAGTTCTGCACACAGAGATATTAAAGGACTGGAAGGGTTTTATACCAACTCAAAAATACTCCATACATAACCCTTATGGAAGATAAAAAACCAATTATTCTTACTACTTACGAATCGCTTTGTTAGATCATTAGATTGCTCTTCCCCCCACAAGCAGCAGAGGCCGCAGAAGAGATGTTAGAGCAAGGAAACAGGACGGCCATGCACCGCTGGGCAAATCGCACACTGCAAAAGGGCTCCAGGCTAAGGGCTCCCAAGAGAGCCATTATCTAGCCTGTACTCTGTCTGGCCAATAAGACTTGCACACTAGCACCGCTCAGCTAGGAGGAAGGGATGCCGTTTTCTCAATATCAAAGATCCATGTCAAACAGCTAGAGCGAGGGGAAGGCAAAGAGGAAAGATGATCTCAAATGCATGATCTATTTCATGGAAATACAGACCTTTGTGGTATCAGGGGTTATTTATCCAACATTTACTCATACCCTTTTCATAGACATCTGCTATTTAGCTTGGAACATGCCTCTCCCAAATCACGACTAAGTATTACAGTTTCCACTGCAAACAGGAATTAAGATATGACCACGTTCTGGTCAATATGGTATACACAAAAGTATCCTGTAGCAGGTTCTGGGATCCTCCTCTAAAAGGCAGCTGGTAAATGTACCTTTGCTGCTGTCTTTCTCCATTCTTCCCTCTTGTCAGGAACAGGAATACCACACCTTGGCCCATAAGGAAGGGATGAGAGGAAAGGGCCTGGGTCCAGAGCAGGCCACGCCTGAAAGACCTACATGACAAGGAGAAAACTTCTCACTTAAACCAACAGTATTATAGGCTTTTTTATTAATTGCAGCCAAATTACTCTGTGAAGACCCTGGAGCCTGAGGAACTGAAAACAGAGGGGCAAGAAACTTCTCTTGACACATGGCCTAGATCCCTGCTGAATGCAAACCACTACCCAGAGTTAGACCCTGCCAGTGAAACTGTGACCTTGTAAAATTGTGCAAAAATTCATGAAGTTTTACCAAAGTTCTTACAGATGGTTGAACTCCCAGATTTTAAAGTTAATTTCAATTCATCACAACTGTACAATTCTTCAATGACTCTATTCTCAATTACTCAACAACTTCACATGTGAAATTAGCCTGTTTGTCAGCAACAAATTCTCCTTACCTCTTGAGTCATTTGCATCAGCATCCAAACATAATCTAGTATAATCTCCTGTAGTTTTTCCAAGCTACCATGGTTCTGTCTTGTCAATATAATCAACAATCTCCATGACCCCAAATCCAATGATCACTTCTCTCTTTCACAGCTGAACTGTCATTAGCATTGGACAGTTAATGATGTTCCCTTTCTTGCAATACTTTCTTGACTTCCATGACACTGTGCTCTCTTTTAGTTTCTATGTCTATCCTCCTCCTTCTACTTTCAACTGCTGAACCCACCATCTTGTTTGACCTCTGAATTATGGAATGTTCCAGGGCTCAGTCCTGCAACCTCTTCTCTATCAGCATAAATGTTACTTCATCTGTTCCTGGGCTTAAATATCACCCCTATTTCAACAAACCCCAGATCCCTCCTTCCTACCCTTACTTCACACTTAAACTCCAGGTAAAAATCTAACTTCCTATCTGACCTACCTGTTGATTCCCTATCCTACTACTCCCAAACCTGCTCCTTCCCAGACTTCTCTTATCTTTACCATCTAAATACTTGCTCAGGCCAAAAACTATGCAATCATGATTACTCCTTCCCTTTTCTCACCCGCCCCCACATCTGACACCACTTTTGGAAGCTACCCACTACTGTGCATTTCCTTTGTCTTTAACTCCAAGGCAAGCCGCCATCATCTTTCCCCTGAACTTCAATAATGTTTCCATCCCATCTTCCAACTTCTTCTTTTCTACTCCCCGATAATCACTGTGTGCAGAGAAGCCAAAGTTATCTATGTATAAATTATATAAGTTATTTAAGTATTTACAAATCCTGTAACTTTCCTGCTCAAAACCCTCCAATGACCTCCCTTGTAGTTAGAATAAAATTCAAATTTCTTAAATGCCCAACATGATCATACCCTGCCTACTATGCCTTGTTCTCTGTTAACACAGCACTGAGAACAGTAGCTGACACACAGTAAGTATGCAATCACTATCTGCCAAACGAATCCATACATGTAATAAATACAAAACACATGGTAAACTTATAATACCTATTCAAACACACCCTACATCCACTAGTAGCAAGAAACTAAATTCCTTTAATCTGAGACTCTTGGTGTTGCAAAGGCATCAGCTCACTTAATCATCAAACTCTTTGATGGGCAAGTAAAAAACCATGATATTATATCATTGTATTGACACAACTATTAAATCAGGACTATCCTACAACATGTAATTATTATCTCACTTAGAAAGCCCCGTACACTATTACCGAGCCAGCTTCCTTTGGAATTGAGAGAATTCTGATGTAAGGAATAAGGGCTTCTTCCTTTCTTCAGAAAAGGCTCTGATTTGACAATTCTCAGCCTCCATGTGGAAACACGAGAGTCTCATATAGCCATTCTGAAGCACAGCAAAGATCAGGGAAGAATTACTCATTTTAGTAAGGCATAATGAATTTGAGATTCTTGCTATAATGTCAGTTTCATTCATTCAGACGTACTTTCGCAAGTGGGAGTTAAAGAGGAATGGAATTACAAGTAGAAAGCTGGGAACCAAAAACTTACAATAAAGACCTAATATAGTATTCATCTTTAAAGAACAGATGAAAAAAGCCTTGCTCTCGTACATTACAGGAGAATGAGAAGCCACCTCTGTACCTATCTGTGTGGTGAAGACCTAATAGTTAAGATTTCCAGTTACAGGCAGGAACAGGAATTTGTTAATATAAGTCAAAAGGTAAACATGCTGTGCATTTTAATTTAAGTACTTGTCTTTCAAAAATATTATCTTAATTAGCATTTTCTTGTTCCCTTTGTTACTGCTGCCTGTAATGTAGTGGTCTGAATAATTGTTTAAAAAGAAACATTTTGGGGGCACCTGGGTGGTACACTCTGTTAAGCTTCTGACTCTTGGTTTCAGCTCAGGTCGTGACCTCAGGGTCATGAGATCAAGCCCAGTGGGCTCAGCAGTCAGCGCAGAGTCTGCTTAAGACTCCTTCTCCCTCTTCCCCTACCTCTCTCCCACAACCATGCTAGTTCTCAAGCTCTCTAATAAATAAAAACTTAAAAAAAAAAAAATTTTAAAACTTCGATTAGTCATATTGCCTTTTCCTTATTAAATGACCAACTTTGGTAATCTTTATTTGCAACATTTCATTTTTAGAAAAGGTTTTTATGAATATGAGGGCACTGACATACACACCCAAGTAAGTGTGAGTTGCAATTTCCTTTCCTACCCCCAAATGGGGTAGGCGTTCATGGAAGTATTCCTAGAAAATACATAAAAATATAAGAGAATTCATAAAAATTTGTCCAAAATTATGAAATTTATCCATTATGACTATTTTGGCAGGATGTGGAGGAGCGTTTTGTCTCCTACCTACCACTCCACCATTAAGATAATATGGAGTTAATTTTATTTCAATTTAAAAAAAAGTAAGATTATATGGAAAGATTACTAGGGAGAACAAAAACTGTGGGTGCTTTCATAGAGACCACGTGAGACATTATTTTACTGCTCTAGTCTTGGCTGGATTTATGCTACTGTTTGCAGTCTTTTGAGGGTACTGAAGTGAGAGGAGGCACTGCCATAGGTCAAAAATTAATATGCTGCTTGGGTTGAACGTGCCTGGCTGACCACTGACTTTGGTTTCCTGATAAACCCTTACCAAAATGAGAGTAAAGGCGGGGGATGGGGGAAGGACATAAATTCATGAGGGCAGGAAGAAAAGGAGAGCCATTAGTGGAAAGAAAGTTTCCAACACTTTCAAAAAAAGAGAAGGGGCCAGAAAGAGTTAAGTAATTTAAGAGAGTAGAAACGCTGGTGGTGGGCTACCTATAAGAATGTATCTCAAGGAGAACAGAGGCAGTTGGCCACCTTAAGACATTGGATAGGTTCAGAACGTGAGGCACGAGAAGCTGGATGGAGGCTCAAATCACTGGACTGGAGACTACACAGAACCCAAGGCCCGGGTCCTTCCCTGGTGACTCCTTTCAGTCTACACACCCTGCTCATACCCCACCATCTCCAATAACCTTGCCAGAAATTTCACTACCCAGAGCTCATTTCCTCATTTGTAAAAAATCTATTATTTATTTTCTATTGCTGCTATATAACAAATTACTACAAACTCAGTGGCTTAAACAAAATTATTATCTTGTAGTCTGGATGACACAGTTCCAACCTGGGTGTGACCAAGCCAAAATGAGGTTGTCAGCAGAGCCCCATTCCTGCCAAAGGCTTGAGGGGAAAACCAGGTCTCTGCTTTTCCAGCTTCTAGAGGCTGCCTACATTCCTTGGCTCATGGGGCTTTCCTCCATCTTCACAGTGAACAGCACAGAATCTTCAAATCCCTGACTCTCCCCATCTGCCGCATTTATTATATCTGCTACTCTGACTCTCCTGCCTCTTATGGCTCACTATGGCAATCCAGGATAATCTCCCCATATCAATATCTCAATTTAATCATATTGGCAAATGCCTCTGTATCATGTAAGGGAACATATTCACTGGTCCAAGAATGAGGATATGGACCTGTGGTGGCCATTACTCTGTCTACTAAATGATCTTGTCAGATCACTGAAAGATTGAGTGCCCACAGAACAGCGATAATAGTTAAAGTTTATTGAGCACTCAAGATATGCCAAGACATCTCTTAAAGCCTCAGAGATTTAACTCACTGCATCCTCACAGCAGCCCTAGGACATAAAAACTACCATCACCCCCACTTTACAGATGAGAAAAATACAGCACAATGCCTACACCTGAAGCCACATGCCATGTATCTGACAGAAGGGGGATTCAAAATCCAATCCTCATCCACTGAACCACTCTGGTAAACATTGAGTAAATTTTAGTTGTTGTTATTACTATTATATCACTGCACCAAATTTATTACATACATCTCATGCCATGAACATAAAAATAAATAAAGATAAAGCCCAATGTTAACATGAAAACTTCTTTAAAAACATTTTATGTGCTTCCCACTTTCCCATTTTAAATACTGGTTTTTTTTTTTTTTGAAGATTTTAATTATTTATTTGACAGACAGAGATCACAAGTAGGCAGAGAGGCAGGCAGAGAGAGAGGGGAAGCAGGCTCCCTGCTGAGCAGAGAGCCCGATGTGGGGCTCGATCCCAGGACCCTGGGATCATGACCTGAGCCGAAGGCAGAGGCTTAACCCATTGAGCCACCCAGGCATCCCTTAAATACTCTTCATATCAACTTTAACTTTTTTCTTTAAGTAGGCACAACATGGGGCTCAAACTCACAATCCTGAAATCAAGACCTGAGCCAAGATCAAGTGTCAGATGCTTAACCAACTGAGCCACCCAGGCACCTCTAAAGATTCTTTACACCAGCATAAAAACTTTTTCTCTTCTCTCCCTACCAGGTCTATATGTGGTTCCTATCCCATACGCTC